CTCAAGCTGTTTCCCCAGCCATCCTAAAAACCTCTCCAGCTCTGTCAGAGACTGCAGGATGCATCTCTCAGAACAGACAGTGACTGCAGGTAGCTCCCTTGGGGGAGGACAAGAAAGTCAGAGTCATAGACTGTCTGTGGGCCATGTCTAGCAGAGGGGTAGCGAGTGATTTTCAGCGGAGACACTTAAGTCCCAGGTGCACATCTACCGAAGGTCCTCGGTGTGCATGATCTAGTCCCTCTAAGTCTAGATGATCTTTGTTAACACTGCCCCAAAACTGGACAGGCAAGGCAGTCAGTCACATCTGTTGAACTCTGCCCAACAATGAGGGAGGTGCTGAGGATAAGGGATTAGAGCTGCCAACTTCAGAACAAACTCATTCTCAGTTCCAAAGGCTGCTAGTTTTGGGGGTCTTTCTCCCTCCATCCCTTCCCACTTGATATCTCTCCAGATATCAGCAGTGACCACCACCATTAGGTAAAGGGGAGAGAGTCAATTAGTGAGAGGATTAATTACTCTGAGGCAGGCGCCCCGTTTGTCTTCCTTACGGGTGTGAGTGTGTGCTCACACAGAGGAACACGGGCACGCACCCAAATACACATTGTTGTCACGCTGTCTTAGACGTTTTATTTATTTGTTGGATTCCTGCCCAGTGCTGCTCACAGGCTTTCCATAGGCGTTAAGTCTCCCACCAGACTCCAACCTCCTTTCCTCCGGCCCAGGAATGTGCCTGTCACATGCACAGCCCACTTAGGTCCGAGTGGAAGACCGTGGTTGGGAGCTTCAGGACTCTTCAGCTTCTAGTTTCTCTCCACTAGCTTTTTTTTTTTCCCATACTGTATTATTCTGTAGCTCAGGCTTGCCTGGACATCACTGAGTAGCAACCTTGAACTCAAGTACTGGGATTACAGGGGCGAACCATGACAAAGGGTGTTTTTTTTCCCCTTTCTTTGCTTCGTTCTTCTATGTGTTTCTCTTGACACATCTTCACTCCCTTTACAGCCTCTTGCTTTTGGGTCTCTTCACGCCTTTTCTATTCACTTCTGTCTCCTTCAAAGCAACCTCTCTCTTTCGTGGTGACTACCATTGCTCAGCTGGACTGACTGGGATCAGCATGCTCCACCTCGCTGCTGCTCTAACCGTCCTCCCCATGCTCAGAGTCCCCCCAGCCCTCATGCGAAGTCTGGATTGTTTACCTAGGCCAGGTGCATGTCATAATATTCGGCAGGATACTGCCCTTTCTTGGCTTCACTGTCCCTTCCCTACTACTGCCCAAGCTCGGGATGGAAAATGCCTCCGGGGGCAAAGTGCGCTCTGGAACACGGTTGCAAGGCCCACCTTTCCCAACTTCTCACCATCAGTAATGCAGTGATAGGGGCAGGTACCCTTGCTTGGATTGGGGTTCCCGTCTGGGAAAGTGTAGAGAATAACTCCCTTACTATGCGGTTCAGGGGGAGACAACGATATAAACTAGAAAGAACTCCATATTAAGAGCGCAAACCTTGAGAGAGGGGAAGGGAAAGAAGAGGGTACTGGATCAGAGAGACTCTAGCAGAGCAGTTTTCCGTGTTGCATAAGCTGGATCTTCACAGGTCTGTGCGGAGTTTGTGTGGCTTCCAGGTGGCAGGGGTCCAGGGTGCATCTAGCTGGCTCCTTCCTTTCTCCTTACTAGACCTATGCTGCTGAATATTCGGGGTTTTTGTGGCTGGCAGCCCTAGGAGACTACTGTGGCATGGTTTCCTCTCCCTCTTCTGGGGACCTGGTCTGGACTAGAGGAAGGAAGTGGCCGCTCTAGGAATTAAATAGCAACCCACAGTTATAAGAAAGAACGGTCCCTGGTTGATGGGAAACACTCCGGGCTGGACTAGAGGGTGTGGAGGATATGGGTTCAAGGACTCTGGACCCAAGAGGCAAGGGAGATCGGGTGTGTGAGAAGGGAAGGCTGGTTAGTCCTAGTTCTGAGACAGGGTCTCTCCCTCCATTCGAACTGCTTTTGAGAAGCTTCTAAGAAGACAAATCTTGACCATGGAAGTCACCTTCTGGGCCCTCTGGGACCTTTCCCTACGGTGCCTTGGGAGTAGGGTGGAGGAGAATGATGGCCAGGTGTCCAAATTGAATCTCAGGACACTCGCCGGGATATAAGTGACTGAGTGTCTATGCGAATTTGAGGTATGGAGAGTAGTAAAATGGGTGTATTTGAAATCGTGGACAGTGCGGTGGTGTAGGTGAGGGTGGAAGGTTGGGGATCTTCAGCGGTCATTTATACCTACACAAAGCTGAATTCGGTGGATTCAGAGCCGGCGGGTTTAGAAAGCTGGGTCCGTTTTCTCTCCTTGTCTCCACTACTGATTACATTTCAAAATAAGAGCTCAATGGAAACGGTGTGTGGGGGGGGACATTAGTCTTGTGTGCTGTCACCGCCGAAGTGTTAAACATGGATTTTAGACAGAATCAAGGAACCAAGATACATGCCTTGCCATGCTCCCGCTCGCTCGTTGACATACACACATCCCAGAAGCCGGGAATGGCTCGCAAGCGGTTTTCTTCACCATCTGAACCCGGAGACATGCAGAATACAACACCCTAGAACCAGTGTCCTGTCTTCGCCCAACTCCCATCTTCTAAAGGGGCCTTCTCTCCCATTTCTTGGTCTCAAAGTCATTACACCCCCAAATCAGTAAAAACCTCTCCCCGACTACAGAAGGAAGATGCAAGTCGGAAAAGGCGGGCAACGGAGTCCAGTGGCACCCTACAGTTCCCCGAGACAGCAATTTCTCAGTTGCCCCTCCCGGGGCCCCTCTGCTTTGCACTGAAGTAGCCCAGCTGCGCCGAGAGTGAGCCACCAGGGACCTGGGCGACTACAGGCTCCTGAGAGGGGCGGTTGAGTCCAGGGCGATAGCAGCTAGCTCTGGAACAGCTGAGGGTGGAGAGCCTGGGGACCGATGGCCCCTTCCTTTGGAAAGCCGCTTGGGAGTCGGAGTAATAATAGAGGATCCGGTGCTCCGCCGCACTTGGAACGTCTGGGGGTACCAAAATTCTTGATACTTGTTCTACGAAGTGTCGGGTCCGCAGGAAGACGCCCAGTCCGAACCCGAACCCGAAGAGCCCGCCCAATAGGTGGGAGAGCCGCCTTCTAACCCCCACTCAGTCCTGAGTCTAAGCCTAGAAAAAAACAGGAGAGGGGTTGTTGGCGTGAGAGCTTGGATGCGCTACTTGAATCCACAGCTGCTCCACGCGAGTGTGGAAGTGGACAAGGGTAGCGAGAATGCTTTGAAGGTCTGACACTCGGGGCGCGGCGGGGGAGGGAGAGTCGCAGAGGAGTCCTGTGAGGCAGGCCTTGGTGGTTGGTTCTACAAAGCAACTATCATGCCGGCGGGAAGGCAGAGCTACTGAAGAACTGAAGAGCTTCAGGGTTGCCGGGAGGTGCAAAAGAAAGCAGAAAGGGGGCGTTGGCACAGCTCTAAAAACTAACAATACCATCCAACATAAGCCAGGTTCGGGGCAGCTTCTTCTCTCTTCGCTGGAAGAGGGTATTCTGTTTGTGGACCCGAATTCACTGCCAGTCCAACTGCGTTTCCGCGCACTTTTCTCCTAATTTAGACCTGTGGAAGATCTGCCAGGTGCATAGATGAAGTAACTCAAAAGGCAGATTCAGAAATATCATCTAGATATGGCTGCAGGGACACCCTTACTTCCCTCGAAATTCGAGTAATGCACCTTCCTAGCATCTCCCCCAAATAGGGGGCAAAAGTAACACCGCTTTGAGACAAATTTGGGTTAAGCTTAGAAAAAATAAATCAGTCGCTACAGTTAACTTGAGTGCTACTGGAAACTAGAATCATTAAAAGGACCAGCATCTGACTCTCACAACTAGGCAGATCCGCCCCTCGCCTCGGTAGACGGTGACCAGGAGTTTATAACGCAGACAAAATTAGGAAAGTGTATTAACTCTAAGGAGTGTACTCTGGTAGATATGGTTCGCTGATGTCTGAAGAAACGAACTACCTCAAGCCTGGAAAAAAGGAAGGTCTGGGAGCCAGGCTACACTGCCAGTGCGCTGCACGCCTCCCTCCCCTGCAGCCGAGGTGCTGTCCCCCGCTGCAACCACCTCCCCCAGCCGCGAGAGCCCCGCGGTTTCCCACCTAGTCATTTGTTTTTGTTTGTAAAAGGTGTCTCCGGATCACAATTTTCTCACAACTTCTCGCCAGAGTTGCAACTCCTCACCCGAAGCGCTTCCCCACCCACTCCTTCTCGCGTCCTGGCGCCGCGCCTCCGGTTTCCCCGCCCCCATCAGGAAACCGCCCGAATCAACTTTCCAAGAGAACGCAGCGGGAGATCGACACTCGTGTCTCTCAGACACCCTGCCGGGCGGACTTTGGTTGGACTGGGGGGGGGGGGAGGAGGCACCAAGAGACAGGGGGCAGATTAAACTGCCAAGCGCCCCCTACCTCTCCAAAGACTCGAACTGTGCCGGGGGCAATTTCCAGGCCAAAAGAGCACGAAGAGGAGGGATGTTGACACCTACTGAATTGCAGAGCCAGTGTACCGGGACCTCCCAAGCTACAAGACCCAGTTACACTCTAATCCCAACCAGGCTTTCTCTGCCCCCACCCCCACTCCCGTATGATTGCCTTTACCCTCCCACGGAACTCTGGCCTCCTCCGCACCTTCTTTCATTCCCTGACACTGAAACCGACGCCTTACCAAACCTGGAAGGGGCCAGGACATCTCGCTGCCATCGCCGGTACCGCGCGGGGCTACCGCCACTGATCCTCTAAACGCGGTCTTCCCGCACTCTCCCCGGCCGGGGGGGAAAATGCAGAATGGTTTACAGAGGGACCGCGAGGCGCTGATTGGTCGCAGTTCGCCGTGACGTCGGCGGGCGCTGCATTAAGGCGAGGGGGCTTCCAGGGCTCAGCCAACAGCCAGGAACAGTGACCGAGCCGCTGGAGCTGGGAAGAGACGCGCCGAAGACTGGGCCAGAAGACCAGAGACCTAGGGACGCGCGCTGGGAGAGAGCCAACAAGAAACCCGCGGACCGGACAGCGACACCGGCGAGCCGCACCGAACTGTTCCAGCCGCTGGCCTTCCGTAGCCGCTGCACCAGGACATTACTCTAAAGCTCTCCAAGACGCCCCCTCCCCTTGGCTCCTCCCTTTGAACCAGAAAAAGAAAAAGAGAGGAAAAAAGAAAGGAAGGATACTAGAAAGGAAAGCCAGATTTGCCACCACAACAAAAGGGGGGGGGAGGGAAAAAAAAATCGAGACTGTGGGGTTGAAACGCAAGCCGCGGGAGCGTGGGCCGAGCGATGCGGGGCTGCGCGCCCAAGCGGCCGCGAGTTGTGACTGAAGCCAGGATGCACGGCCAGGCACGGTGAAGAGCCAGATCACATTGCCTTCCCGAAGGAGTCCAGGCGCAGGGAGGGCCGCTGCGAGGACACGGAAGGCCGCCTGGCAGGCCAACGGCCGAGGTGACAGGGCTGGGGCGGTGGGGAGCGAGCGAGTGCGCCCGGCTGCGTCCGCCCGAAGTTGTCCCTTTTCGTTTTTGACTGGCAAAAACACTCTCCAAAGGGGGGTGGGGACCTAAGCACCAACTACAATCAACAAATCTACCCAACCTGCCCTCTCTCCCTTCCCTTGGCCTGCCCTCGACCCCTTCCCAGGCCCAGCGCGGTCGCCCAGACTGTCCCGACTCTCTGCAAGAAGCCGGCAACGTAGGATCCAAAGCGTTCTACTCCTGTGTTCTTTTCTTTCCGTGTTTTTTTTTTTAAAGGGAACAACCCGGTGGTGGGCGGTCTGGCACGCACACACAACCGGTGGTGGGCGGTCCGGCACGCACACACAACCTGCCTTCATACTTGGACAAAAGCTGATGCACTTTGACTTCTGACAGCTCTACCTCAAGCCGGAGAGAACCCAGCGTCGCTTTCTTGAATCCCGAGCTCTTGCCGTCTTTCTTTTAACCGGTTTCAATTTTATTTATTTCTGTCCCGCCCCCTTTCTCGGTGACCTTCACTCCTCCGGCTTTGGGCAGAAGAGCCGCTTTCTTGTCCGCTGGAGACTGATTTTCCTCGCCTGGTGAGCTGAGGTGGCGCCGCTCCAGCCCCGCGGCCCTGGGATTCCCGGGCTGCCCCCTACCAGCCTGGTCTCTCCCCTTTTGATTTGCTGGTGCGGTTTTTTTGCTTGCCCGACTTGAGCGGGTTTTTTCTTTTTGGAGGCGCTGGGAAGCTCAGGCTGGTTGTCTTCAGGAGTCATCTCCTCGATTCTATTTGCCCCATCGATCGGAGCCTCACCGGACCAAACCAAAGACCATGGTGCACTGTGCGGGCTGCAAAAGGCCCATCCTGGACCGTTTCCTCTTGAACGTGCTGGACAGGGCCTGGCACGTCAAGTGCGTCCAGTGCTGTGAATGTAAATGCAACCTGACCGAGAAGTGCTTCTCCCGGGAAGGCAAGCTCTACTGTAAAAACGACTTCTTCCGGTGAGTACTTTCCTCCCGCGCCTCTGCTGCTCCCTCCCCACGGGCCCTTCCAGGCCGGCTTCGGATCAGAGGTCAGCGTGGCCGCATTAAGAGCTGCCTTTTCTCTCGGGCAGCCAAGTCCCTCTGGCTTCTACCTCTTAGGAAGTTGGGATGCCGAGATATCTGTCCTACTTGGTACTGGGAAGTGTGGTCCGTGTTTGGCCGCAGGTGCCTAGAAAAGAAAAGGTCTGAGCCGACTTCAGCTCAAAAGCCCCTCCAACATCATTGGAGAGGTACAGCAGCCTCGGGGTTGCAGCTCCCGCTCGCCTTTCCCGAACCGAAGCTCTCCTGCAACCAACCGCCTTTTCCGGGCCTCCTTCAAGTTGAGCTCAGAAGCTCCGGCTTTATTCCAGCCACTGACTTTTCCTTCTCTGAGAGGTCTTTTCCAAACTAGAGTCTCGGTGGTCGGGGTGGAAAAAAGCCGCAATAAAGAGCCCGCCCTTGAGGCCAATCCTGTATGCCTGGGGTCTCCCTAAACATTGATTGGCCTATAAGCGTAAGACCTGGGAGAACGGTACCGTGCTGGCCTTGGCCCAGTGCCCAGCGCCGGCTCCTCTTCGCGGCCTTTCCAGTCGATTCCCCATCAGGAAGGCCACCTTCTGGCGAACACGCGGCTCGTTAGAGCCGGGAAAAATTCTCCTCTGTTTACCATTTTGCTTGTATTTTCTTAAACTGATTATTTGCCACAATCAAAGCTGAATTGGGAAGAATGACCTCAAATGTATATTGTATTTTCCACTGGTTTGAAATCCCACACTTTATTCCGCTATTTTGGTTTGTTTTGAGAGGACTGATCAAATCTGGGAAAGAGTTTGAAGCCACCGGGCCTCCTTAGCCCGAAGGACCAGGAAGCGCAGTCCCCAGTGACTCCTGTTTGTAGAGGACCTGTGAAGCTAAGGGAGGTGCGAGCTGCTTTTGCGGAAAGGCTGAGCTTTGGGGCTTCGGCAGACTGCTCGGGTTTTTACTCTACAAGGGCTGGATCCGTGCCGGAGAAGCGCTAGCCCCACCGGCTTGCGGGGCTCTCAGAGCCTGACTAGCGGCTAAGCTCAGCGGGACTCCTGAAGCCCGCTCAACCTGGCCGCGACTCCCGCTAGCGCCAATCTGCCAGGCTTTTGCGCACGAACGTGGCAACTGCCCAGCTCTCTCAGAGTCAGTGTTTGTTTACTCGGGGCGGGATCAGACTTTGCCAACCCGTACCTGTGCTTAGGTCTTTTTGTGGTGAAAGCAAGGCAAAGCTAGCAGTATAGAGCGGGACCTTTCTGCGGAGCTCTTACCTCGAATTTGACTTCTCTGAATCTAATCGGAAAATGTGTGCTCGGTTTCCCTTCTGCCCTTGTAGCCACTTGGAAAACTTTTCTCAGGACACTTTTTTCCCCTGGGGCATGAGGTTCGAGGTTAGGGGCAGCTTGGGCCGTTAACACTGACCGATGTTTTCCCTCCCTTTTCCCTGATGTCCCGCGATCTCTCCTGCCTCCTCTTATGTTTAATAAATTTTTATATTCATTCTCTCTCCTTCTTCCTCTGGCGACTTTTATTTCACCCTGTCTGCTATACTTCTCTCTCATCTCCGCGCACCCTACGCAGATGTTTCGGTACCAAATGCGCGGGGTGTGCGCAGGGCATATCTCCAAGCGATCTGGTGCGGAGAGCGCGAAGCAAAGTCTTTCACCTCAACTGCTTCACGTGCATGATGTGTAACAAGCAGCTTTCCACCGGCGAGGAGCTCTACATCATCGACGAGAACAAGTTCGTTTGTAAAGAGGATTACCTGAGTAACAGCAGTGTCGCCAAAGAGAACAGCCTCCACTCTGGTGAGACCAGGATTCCCAACTGGCTAGAGGGTGGGTATGGGGAGGAAAGAAAGAACCCTGCTCATCACTCCTTTTTCTCTTCCCAGCCACCACAGGCAGTGACCCTAGTTTATCTCCGGATTCCCAAGACCCATCGCAGGACGATGCCAAGGACTCGGAAAGTGCCAACGTGTCAGACAAGGAAGGTGGGAGCAATGAAAATGATGACCAGAACCTAGGTGCCAAGCGCAGAGGACCCCGAACCACGATCAAAGCCAAGCAGTTGGAGACGTTGAAGGCAGCCTTTGCAGCTACACCCAAGCCCACACGCCATATCCGTGAGCAACTGGCCCAGGAGACTGGCCTCAACATGCGGGTCATCCAGGTCAGAACCCTGGTTGTCCACTCTGTTCCCCAAAGGCTCACATGGCCACTAAGGGAACCTAGGCTGAGCCTGGGAAAGCCCAGAGTTTTGGGGGTAGGAAAAGAAGTGAGTGGGACTAGGAAAAGGCTGTCCTGATACATTGGAATATGGGAAAAAAGCCCCACAGAGGTGACAGTGGCTAATGGGACGGGAGTGACTCAAGAGCGCGCCATAAAGCTGGAGGAAAACACAATGTCCAACAGCACAGTGGCAACAGCTAAAGTGCATCTTTCTGTACACAGCTTGTCCCTTTCTCGCCCTTGTTAAGGAGCAGAGAGGTGGCTGTGGGGTCCAGAGTCATTCAGTTCCTCCCGGTTCTGTACAATAAGCTCTCCCTCTATTTCCCCAACCCCAAATTTGTGCGTTTTGAGCCCCAGTTAGAAAACCGCCAGAGCGGAGGCTTGTCCTCCCCAAGGAGGTGGTGTGCCCAGGATTGAAGGAGAGATAGTTTGGTGGGAAGCCGGCTCTGCCTAGATGCAGCCTGATGTAGGATGGGGAGGCTAAGCCTTCTACAGATAGCTGGGCCACTGTGTTGGGAAGATGCTAAACTAGAGTGTGTCGGATACCAGGAGTCTGGCCCTGCCTGTACTGTGTGTCTAAGTGCCTAGAGGCCAGGTGAGGGTGTGGGTGGATGCGCCTGTCCAAGTGTTAGAAGGGCAGCCTCTGGGAGGTTGTGTGAACCTGTGCTCATGAATATGGGTTTGTGTGCCTGTCACTATTGGAGAGAGGCTATGTCTAAGTATGTTTGGCATGTCGAGATTTTGTGTGGGTGTAAAAAGGAGATTGTGGGTTTTGGTGTCACTACTCTTGGGAAACAATCAGCAGAAAGCTTTCTGTATCTCTGTCACTACATGATATGGGGGTAGGGACCAATAAGAGACCCTGAAAGGGAAGCTGTGTATATGACACTATTTTGAAGCGGTCCAGTGTCTATGATCCCTAAGATAATATAATGCTAAGCGTGTGATTGCTGGATATAGTGGGACTACAAAATCAGACAAGGCAGTAGTCTGCTCAGCTCCCTTCTTGGGAATCCTGCACACCTACCCTTGGCCTGGTACTATTCATTCAGAGACCACCACCGCCACACATAGTGGCAGTGGAGGAATGAGTGACTGGGCCCCCGATGCACACCCGGCTGGCCAGTGGGGTCTCCGTGGTCTCATCCTGTGCCTGTGTACTTCAGGTCTGGTTCCAGAATCGACGTTCCAAGGAGCGGAGGATGAAGCAGCTGAGCGCGCTGGGCGCGCGGCGCCACGCCTTTTTCCGCAGTCCCCGCCGGATGCGGCCGCTGGTGGACCGCCTGGAGCCCGGCGAGCTCATCCCCAACGGCCCCTTCTCCTTTTACGGAGGTGAGTGTGGCCGAGCGGCAAGGCGGGCCTAGGCTGAGCCGGCTTCGCTGGAAGCGGGTGGCAGCGCAGGAAGTACCGCTTGCTTTCTGTTGGGGGTAGGGGCAAAGACCCGGAGCAAGTTAGGGGAGGTTGCTGAAGTCCCAGCTCCGGTAAGAAAAGGGTCCCAGGAAGGGAGAAGCTCTGAGTTTTCCAAGTCTCCTCTCCTGCTCTGGTGCCTCTCGAACAGCCAGTTCCCCGAGCTGCCCTGAGATGCCCGCTGCCAGGTCTTTCCTGCCCTGTGGTCTCACAAGACCCAGGGTTGTGCTCTGACACCTCCTTTCTGGTCGGCAGATTACCAGAGCGAGTACTATGGTCCCGGGGGCAACTATGACTTCTTCCCGCAAGGACCGCCGTCCTCGCAGGCCCAGACGCCAGTGGACCTACCCTTTGTGCCATCATCTGGGCCTTCGGGGACGCCGCTGGGAGGTCTAGACCACCCGCTGCCTGGCCACCACCCTTCCAGCGAGGCACAGCGATTCACCGACATCTTGGCACATCCCCCAGGGGACTCGCCCAGTCCTGAGCCCAGCCTGCCCGGGCCTCTCCACTCCATGTCAGCGGAGGTCTTCGGACCCAGTCCACCCTTCTCATCTCTGTCCGTCAATGGCGGGGCCAGCTACGGGAACCACCTGTCCCATCCTCCTGAAATGAACGAGGCAGCCGTGTGGTAGCGGGACCTCGCATGGGCCACGGGATCTCGTGGTTGTACAGAGTCTACAGAGACGAACTTTTATTTAAGAAAAAAAAAAAAAAAAAAAAAAACATAAAAAGCAAGCCTCCTGCTCCTCTTCCTCCAGCCTCGGGGACCATTCTCAGTATTGGGGAGACTGGAAGGCAAAGGGGGTCCAAAATAGGATCCAAATCCGCCTCACGGTAGAGCTGGGATATCCACACACTGGCTGGCAAAACGCAGAACTGGGGCTCCTGAAGGAGAATTCTCAGCTATCCTCAACCTTCAACCTGAGTCTGGATCCGTGGACAGACTCCACCGGCAGCGGCTCCTCTGGCTAGCTGGAAGACGACTTTGACAGCGGCAGCCTAGAACAGTCCTGGCCAATGCCAGGAGCCTGGGGAGGGAAACCTAGAGGCCCGCTCAGCCGGGTGAGGGAGGAAAAGCTGTCGGGGCTTTCCAGTCAAGAGGGTCCTAGTTCTGGGAGATCTTAGTGTTGTCTCAAAGTTCAGCGACGACAACAAACTCTTAATAGCTTCAGAAACACCGACCTGCTGTGCATCAGGTGGGACTATATATATTTTTTTGTCTATCCGGGTTTTCGATTTTTGTTTTTGCCAAAATTTCAAAATTTTAATGTAAAGCTCTCAATTCTTCTACCTTCACAAATCTCTCTCAATCTCTCTCTCTCTCTCTCTCTCTCTCTCTCTCTCTCTCTCTCTCTATCTCTCTCTCACTCTAACTCTCTCCCTCTCTCCCCCTCTCTCTCCACACACAACACACACACACACAACACACACAACACACACACACACCCGTCTCTCCACAGGATGGTCTCCAGCCACACCTCTCAGTAAAATGACTTGAACATCACCTCTACAAAAAAAGTACTCTACCTTCACACGAAAGTTTAAAAAAAAAAAGAGACTATTGAACTAAAAAACAGTCAACTGTTTACGTATAATGTTAAATTCAGGAGTTCAGTGTTTTACTAATATATCCTGTTTTGAAACCTCTTGTTCAAAAACAAAATGTTTTGAGCAATCAACCAAAATTGTTCCTTTTCTTTTCCTGTAGATGTTCAGACAGATTTGCAGGGCTTGCGGCTCACTGTGCTAGTATGTAAAAAGGTGTTGTTTACACGAGGCAAAGGAAAAACATGATATCCAGACAGTTGCCAAATAGAATAAATTATAGCACAAATACTGTAATGGTGCCTGGCACCAGCAACTTGAGAAAGTGTTAAAAAAAAAGTGTTACAAGGTTTAAAAAACATCTTTGCTAATTTTTAGTCCTGTTGAACATTCATGAAATTGTTAATATGACTTATATAGACCCACACAGGTTTTATTTTTGTGTCTTTAAAATAAAAGTCCAAAATATTTAAATTTTATGGTCAAATATGCAGTCAGCAGCTGCTACTTGTTCCTTTATATATTAAATTTCTCATATGTCTTTTATTGTTCTATAAACCTAAGCTTGTGTGACCTCCAGTGCATATTAGACCATTCACTGTATGAAAGAAAACATGTTGAATAAATTTGTGAGTTTTTAATAAAAATAGAAAACCTGATGTTTAGATAATTGGTGTGGTATCCCATGTTTTCAGCGATTGGAGGGAAGTCCCAAGAGCGTGCTGAGCGGACCCTCAGAAGTCAGTAGGGAGGGAGACAAGACTGGGGTGATGCTTTCACCTTGGCTCTGGCTGAAACCCTTCACCAAGCTCTCTTCTTTGCCTCTTGCTGTTATTAAATGCAGATTTGCATTCTGTGGGCTTAACTGATACAGTTAAAGAGATTTGCTGATAAGTTAATACAAAATTGGAAATGGAAATCAAATCCACAGCTAAAGAGAGCGAATGATGCGGGTCTGTGATTAGGTGAGAGAGCCTGCACCCCCTTCTCCTCCCTGCACTTGCAAAGCCAGGCTTGGGAATGTCACATACCTGTTAATAGATAGTTAGACCTGGTCTTTTTCAGCTTCAATTCATTTTCCATGGATAATCCTGTTTTCTAATTTGGTGAGTTGAAAGATAACCTAATGTGAATATAAAGTATAACTAGAAATACTTTAATCCCTTTCACAGAACTGATACGGAATTGTTATTGGGTGGTATTTACTACATTTGAAGTTTTCCAGAAGGAAAACTATTTTGTCTGGCATAGGATACGTATTAAGTTTCTGCAGAAGATGAACAAAAATAACTAATATAGAAATCAAATTGCAACTGGGAGTTAATTTGCCAATAGATATAGGGTCTTGAGAATAGTTCAATCCCATCCAAACCTTTCATAGAAATGGAAGAAATGTGAATGTTTCTCCTATGAAATACTAATGTGTAGGTGTATGAGAGTTTTATTATCAGGGTCCCAGGGTTTCTTTATCATATTGCCTAGATTTCAGTCTGGATCATATCTTATTTTTTTTAAATCATTTTTACATTAAATTGTATGCAATTTCCAGTACCGTTTTCTTATTTTGTAAGACAGAGCCAAGTTTATCTTTCCTGCAGAGAAGGCTTTAGAGTAAGCAATATTTCATTGCACCCCTTCGATGGCTTATCTAACTAATAACTATCAGGGAGAAATCTGGCTGTCTTCTTTCAGAAATAAAAATTTATGAAATACAAGGGAGACTTTGGAAACTCCTAGCCGCTGCATACAGCACATTTTCTTCATATGCAATCACTGGGTCTGCGTGTTTTCCCCGTTTAGCATTTATATGCATTAAACCACAGCTAACATTCATTATAGCCACCACCCTAGAACCCTCCCCCTTAAAACCATTCATTGAACTGAACGTATGCTCATCAGGAAGTGGCATTTTCCTATCAAGGGTACTAAATTATTTAGCAGCTTTATTGCGCTATCGGAGTATGTGATAAGAAATGCTTTAAGAGTTGGGCAGGTGGCATAGATTCAGTTCTTGTGACTCCGTGCCAGTGGCGCAGTCTTTTCCCTTGGTGGGTCTTTGTGAGACCCTGCGAAGACGGGAACAAGTGGTGATGCTCAGCGGTCTAATCTGGAACCGAGGGCTGGAGGAGGAAGAGAACCGGTAGTGGCTGGGTTGCATTTACAAATGCTGCCCACCTCTGGCCCAAGGGCGCAGGGAACCATTCCTGGAGAGACTGCCAGGAAGGAGGGAAATGCCCTTTGGTCCCCTATCACCCCTTCCTATCTGAGAGCGAAGCCTCCTCACAGCTAAATTTGGCAAGCCCTTTTCTTCCTCAAGCCAGCTTAAAGCCCCTACTACTGCGCTTCCAGGGACCTGTAATTAGGGTTCCAGTCTCAGGGGGCTGCCATCTAAGCTGAGGAGGGACTTAAAGCTCCCCTACTCAACTTCTCCTGATGCAAGGGCAGGCAAGAAGGCAGGTGAATTAGTGGAGAACCGGGACAGGCCCTTCCAGGGGTCTGGAACCCAAGGCTGATGTTGTTTAGGAAGACAGGTCAGAATCTGGTTTCTGGAAACTTGAACCTGGCGGGTTTTGACCATCAGAGCGATGGTTAATTTAGTTACTCTGCCTATGGGTGGCTATTCCTGCCACTCTGCAGCCCAGCCAGAGGGACTTGAATCCTAAACCCCTTCTGTCTTTTTCCAGAGGACAGATTGCTCACCTTTATGTTCCTCTCAGCTCAGCCCATCTGCTCTCCATCCGTTGGCATTTCTTTAGGAAGCTGTACTGCCCTTTACTGGCCCCTCCCACAACCCACCCTCCATCTCCAATCCTGCTCTACCCTAGTCTGAAGCCCTTCCGCTACTTCTCAAGAAACCAGAATGCAACCAGGGAAGGGGCCCCAGAACATTTGGGTGGTCTTTCCCTTGCCCTATGCCTCAACTTCACTTAGTTGCACCTTAAACTCTACCATTCTTTCTCCTTCACTCCTCTCCAGGAAGAAGATTCCTGGGGTAGAAAAGCAGGGGAAGCAGTTTTGTGGAGCTTAGGGTATGTATGGCAAGAGTCAAGAGCTCTTGACTCCTTCCTAAAAATGTCCCAGGTTAGGGACAGCCAAGACAGGAGAGGGAGAGCTGGTAAAAGGCCTATGGCACCTTATGATCCTGTTTGCTCAATTCAACTGGCCACAAATAGGCCAGCAGTGTCCTGTATGCATAACAATTTCAAGATGGCCTCTGTCCTGCTTCCCTTTCCACCTAACCCTTCCCTCTTTACCTTTAAGGGCAGGTTCTTAGTGCCTGAAATAGCAAGGGAAGAGGATGGGGGATGTAATTTACTAAACGTGGGGTGGGAGAACACTTCTGTTCCTTATGCCCAAGGCAGTGGCAACTTGTAGAGGACAGAGGAGCACATTTTTGCTATGAAGGCTCTGATATAGGCACATGCCAGAAATCACAGAGGGCACACTTAAAAACAAGCAAGCCCTCTAACTACTCAGTAATACAAAGATTTTCTTTGCCTGGGTCTTTGTCTGGTCTGACATTCTTTGCCCTCCATGTCTGAAAGACTTGAAGACAGTCTCTGTTTCTCTTTTGTAGCCCTGGTCTTCTTCACTCAAGAGCCACGTAGGAAGGAGGCATGGGAGGAGCTACACTAAAGGAGAAGTCTCTTCTAGCCGGAATCTGAGGGTCTCTGCAGACTCTGAGTCAGGGACTGTCTTCCTGTGGCTTCCACTGGAGAGCTACCAGATACCATACCTATATTGATCTGCTTTGGGATCCTATTGGCCTGGAGCATACTTACAAAATGGTACTGAGCTGGGGATCTAGAAATGAAAGAGTTCCTACTTAGCATGCACAAAACTCTGGGTTCAGTCCCTAGCACTGAATAAACGGGGTGTAGTGGCCCAGGCCTACAATCTCCTTTGATTAAGGAATTCAAGGCCATCTTCAGCTACTTAGCCTGTTGGAGGCCCGCTTGGGCTAGAGACTCTGTATTCATGGGCAAACAGGAACGAGGTACAGTCACAGTGTACTACTGTGTATTACTCATGGCTTTTTTTTTTTCTTTTGAGACAGAGTTTCTCTGTGTAGTCTTGGCTGTCCTGAAGCTTGCTCCGTAGATCAGGTTGGCCTCAAACTCAGAGATCTGCCTGCCTCCACTTCCCTTCTGAGCCGAGTGCTGGGATTAAAAGCCTCACTACCACCACGCCTACTCATGTCTTTTTTATTGAATGGCAGCTTTTCTGTTTACAGAAGATCTTAAAGTCTTCACGGAAGACCTCCAACATATCAGCATAGGACGCTTTCTGCTCAAATTTGTCATTCCTCATTGCAGTTCTTGTTTCCTGCCCAGAAGGCTGGTCACTGTGTGGAGACTCATCCTGTATTTCATCTAGCAGGGCCTGCCACGCAGTGGGCAGTCAAGGAAGGCTCTATGAAGGGAAGAGAATATAAAGTGATTGCGTATCTTCATGTGTCTGGGTGCAATTAAATTTTATCTCATTAAGGTCTGTATGTTTTGAGTCTAAGCATCTAATGTTAGAACCAAGTGAAGGGTCTCTCGTCTGCATTTATTTGTTCTTCAGTTTCCGGGTCTGAGTCACTCCATCTTAGAACAGTAAAGCTATTAATATTGAGGAACGTGTAGTAGAGGAATTCTAACCGCCTGTCTCTTTTTGCCTGCCTAGGAAAGGGGGTACAAGATGCTACAGAAACGGTCTTGATTTGTGGTACAACCATCGCGATCCCTAATTATTCCTAAATAAAGATCGCACTTGGCCGCACATTTA